CTGCATCTAATTGAAAGTGATATCAAGCTTTCTATCAAACAGGTATCTTTAATACAGTCAGAAGTACATTTGACTAAAGCGATGTCACACAGTTTGCTCACCATAGGTTGCGTTGGTAATAGGCGTCCTGGGATAGCTTAAACTTTCAAAAAAAAGAGAGCAAACGTAATCCCCATCTTCCTGTGGATGCACACTATCAACATCAAAGACAACAGCTCGTTCTGACCCTGAGACAGTGCTTGATCTCATGGTGATTCCCGTCATGTTATTAGTGTCTCCAGTACGTCTGTAAAGATCAACTGAGGATGCATCGGGAAGTGGGATACCCTCAACATAACATGTGAAGCTAGATGGTTGGTATGGGTTCACTCTCACTGGAACCAATCTGGATATTCCTGTCAAGAACAAAGAAAAGAAAAACATTAAATAATACACATTAGGGTCTATATACCTCACTTAAGAAATCCAGCCATCTGATTGGTCGAATTGCATTCATAAACTTCAACTGTTCCTGTAAAATTCCCAGTAACCATGCATAAAACATTTCAATATTTTTAATAACCATGGTTATTAAAAAAATAGGTCAGTCTCCATGGTTACCCCATAGGTTTACATGTTAAAAAATGGTTTGAGCGATGGAGGATACCATACGTGTGCGAATAATTGGTCGGCAATTTCAATACAATTGAATCTCGATCGATCTTACCGACAATTTTATCTCGCATTGTTGACATGAAGACGAAAATTAACTCTCAAAAACAAAAAAACAACATCTGCCGATAGATCTTGATCTAAGTTCGTGCCAATATGCATTGCAAAAGTAAAAGAAGGGTCCGTTTCATGGAGCTTTTGCGAAGCATTCATCACACGCAAAGCCGGTTTCAATCCATTTTAATGTATATATAGTACAAAACTGCCTTGCATGTTAATAACGCGCGATGGCCGATAGGTCTGAGGCGCTGACTTTACGTACATCACCTTTTGTACGCAAGAGTTCGAATCTCATCTTGGACCAAACAAAAAAGAATTTTTTATTTTTTATTTTTTAGTCTATTTTTTTTCGGCATATAAAAGTATTAATGACTGCTTTAATATTCGAGAAATAGTTGTTTTCATACGCTCTCGGGAAGGTTACAATTGGGCTATTCCCCTCGGCAAGCCTCGGGGAATAGCACAATTCTAACCTTCCCTTGAGCGTAATAAAACAACTATTTCTCTCAAAGCAGTCATTAATACTATACAATTTTGAACACAACACCTGCTCGCTTTGTGTATTTCACAAATGGCAAACAAATCCTATATGCGCTTTTTAGAACATTAATCATGATATTCAAAAATAAAAGAATGGATTTATTTCTCTTAAAAAGAATGACCAATTACTTATAATTTTGAAATTCGTGTCAGCAATATAATGTTGCAACCCGGTCACTTCATAGAATAAATCTGATTATTTTGTTTAAAATCCAATTGCGTCATATTTATCAATGCAATAATCCTGGTATGCAAATCACTCATGCTAATATGAAATTTCTGTTTGTACTACAAAGACATCCCAATAACCGATAATCATTTCAAGATTTTTTTGTGGATCTATTCACTACGTGTATAGGGTAGGAGAAACTTCCTTAACATATGAAATGGACTTTATAAAGAGAAACAACAACAAATAGCTTGTAAACTAATGTGTACATGTTCAAGTGTCTAGCCAAAGTAATAATAATAATAATGGTAATTTATATAGCGCCGGTATCTGCCAAGTGCTGACACTCATTGAGCTCTGAGGTAAATTTGCTTAAAGGAATCACACTAAGAAGCAAAAGTGTTTTGAATTGATGCAAAATTCATATCATTGCGAAGGAGAAGCCTTACTGATCAAATACAACAACTTCCCTCTTCAAAATATGTTTGGGGCCCGCAGTAATCAACTCTCAAAAATGTTAGTTTTGAGATCCAGATTTTCTGCCTTCGCGGTCCTTTGTAGAGCGTCAATATTTGTGACGTCACATACGGGACACGGTTGGCTAGCTGCATACTGCTACACGGCACTGAGATGTTCGTCCAGTGTGTGACGTCACAATTCAGAGCTTGCTACGCTTGTGTGTTTGACTTACGTTCAGGGTCTAAGGACGGTCTTGAAAAATTGCATTTTACGCCTTTCCATGATATCTATATGATTTCTCAGCAAAATGTTCGTGTTTTTCAAGAGAAAATCTTTCCATCCATATGTAAATTGTTCTGATTATGAGTTGTTAGTGAATTTTCTTTGTGTAGCTCCTTTAAATTAAAGTATTAAGGTAAAAGTACTTGCTCCATAAGCCTATTGAGCACGATTGTGAATTACAGCTAAATGTTATGAAATACATGCACACATAGTTTCATATGCACTCCGAGGTGTTTGAACGTTTTTTCAACAGAAGAAGAAGACAAACCAGATCACAATATGCTGGGTATAATTACTTTGACTGCAGTAAGGTTCAATCCAGCTATCAAGGCATTGTCCCTTGCAAAGACCCCTCTCTGTCTCGCAAGCCACTTGAGCACAATGACATTGCTGAAGACAGTCCAAACCAAAGGTATCCCCTTCACACTCTGAACAAATAAAACAAAGGAAACATCTGGTCAATGATTATCATTGATTAATAAAGGCAAAGATAACTTCGACCGGGGTCTACTGGAAACAGGGTTGTAAACACAATAAATCAAATTATTTCAATCAGGTGAAACGAGTAGATTTTCATCTGACCCATGTCACTGTAGTTTAACTTAAGAAGTGAAGGTCCATTACTACTTAAAATCTGTTGCAGCCAGCAGTTCAGGGACCCCCTCTAAATCTGCTGTTCTCTCGATTACTACTTTCAGGTGGACGACCAACCATGCTGGCTGCAACTCTTCATTCTAAGACAATAACTTATAGTCACAGCTAGGATACAGATCTCTCTCTCTCTCTCTCTGAAACAGAATACAGTTGAGGATTGCTATGTGATGCATTAGTAGGTATTCTATGGAGATAATAATAATAATAATAATAATAATAATAATAATAATAATAATAATAACCAATTTTTATATAGCGCTCAATACAAATGTCTCTAAGCGCTTTACAAATATACTATTAGACGTTTGCTCCTGGGTAAGTTGTTCCGGTCTGTATTTCATCAAAGGTATTCGTTAGGGTTCGGGTTGCAATTGGGTTTTATTTAATGTTTAGGGTTATGGTTAATTTCACTGTTGGGTAAAGGGTCGAAGCTAAGAACTTGGTTTGTGTACGATAATGACAGGAAACATTTATCGTACACCAGATAATGGAGGTCATACTTTAATAAACTCTTGAGGCAGTGTACAGTTTCAAGATTACCTTGGGCAACATTTTCAACATGCCCCTCAAAGCAGTCAATATTTGTATACTAGAATCCTCCTCCAGAGTATACATTATAATAATATATTTACTATTGCAGCACTACGTACATAATATGTGCCTGATATGACCAATGCACATACATGCATTTATGAGTGTTCATACATGTAATTATGAGTGTTCATACATGTATTTATGAGTGTTTATACATGTAGTTATGAGTGTTCATACATGTATTAATGAGTGTTTATACATGTAATTATGAGTGTTCATACATGTATTTATGAGTGTTTATACATGTAATTATGAGTGTTCATACATGTATTTATATAAAAGCTCATACATGCATTTATGAGTGCTCATACATGTGTACATAAAACAATCCTGGTGTATGATGCACGCTGCACCATTCTTGATGTACATGGTGTATGTAGACTGGAGATAAAGGAATTGGAATTGATATGGAAAATTGAACACCCTTTATAGTATTTTACCTTGACAGTTGACCTGGCCACTGCGTAGTTTGTATCCTAGAGCACACTTCTGCTCAGGGCACTCTCCGGTATCTTTATCACATGGTTCATCATTCAAGCAATGACATTTATCAGTGCATTGAGATCCATAGTAACCGGCTTCACATTCATCTGGAACTGTGAATGATAAAAACATATTTTAGAAATCACAATTTAGCAATTACTACTAGTAAATAATATCAGATGTGATACAGAATATATCAGATGTACTTCACAAAGTCAGATTGCTTCTATTGCAAAAGTTCTTGTTTTTTTCTTTGCAAAATTAATTTAAATTATTACACATATTCTTGAGTTTAATGGAGCCTTCACTAGATGTATTTATAGAAAGCATTCATCTCCTCTATCAATAAACATGAAAATAGTATACACACTAAGTACTTGGTGCGGGTATGTCTACGAAAATAGAAACCTCAAGTAATAATATAATTGTGAATTATCTTATTCCAAATGGGTACAATACAGGCACCCCAGGTCATGTATGCAATTGTGCTAGACATTAACAATAGAACAAAAATTACATAGCTATATGCAGTGTACAAGTACAATTCTGTGTATCTTACTTTTCAGTAAGAGGGAATTTGTATCATATTATTTGTTATCATTGCTGACTATGACTTACCTTGACAGTTGTCCCCAGACCAGCCAGTCTGACATCCACCTGTACATATTCCACTATAAATATCACATGATGAACCACCGCCTGCACAGTGACATGTCTGTGAACATCCTGGACCATATGTACCTAGAGTACATACTGTAAAGGAATTCAAAATACAAATTCAAGATTGATTGATTATCATACATTTATCTGAAAGGAAAATATTGTGCATGTTACAATAACTTCTTATTAATTTATCTTTTTCTCTTTCTTCTTCTACTTCTTCTACTTCTTCTCTTCCTTCTTCTTCTTTTCCTTCTTCTTCTTCTTCTTTTTCTTCTTCTTCTTCTTCTTCCTTTTCTTTTTCTTCTTCTTCTCCTTCTTCTTCATCTTCTTCATCTTCTTCTGCTTCTTCTTCTACTTCTTGTACTTCTTCTTCTTCTCCTTCTTCTTCTTCTTCTACTTTTTTCTCCACTGAGTTGCCCCTGACCTCACTCATGAATCCAGCCACATTAGTGTCTGTGCTATGTATGGTCTATATAATGTCACTATTAGAAGTTGAGCACAATCAAATAACTTCGGAAGACTTACGTGTGTTACATGTAAGACCATGAGCACCGACATCACATGAACATCCATAAGGATCAGGTAGGCAAAAAAGATTCCAATGACATTGTGTGGCAGCATTGCGGTATGAACATTGAAACTCGCACTTCAATCCAAATCGATTTCCACCATCATTTCTACAAACTGAAAAAAAAATGAGTTGCATTGTTGAATCAAAACCTTACAGACTTGCATAAGAAATAAGATTTCTTGAGATAAATTTCAAGTATGATTGCTTTCCTGATATCAAGATATTTGATATGTACATGTATAATGGATGTATATAACTCTGTTAATTTTAAATGGAATAAGACAAAAAATATCTTCCTCAATTCATCTATTATAAACAGATAATCTTTAAAATAATTTTGAACGTTTGGACAATAAAACCTCAACTCAACTAAACTTAACTCACATAAAGTTTTGCAGGCTTACTTACTTTCTAAACAATTCGTTCCCTTGAAGTTGTTAGGACAGATACACAGGCCAGACTTGTCATCACAGACTCCACCATTGTAGCATTTATCACAGATACCATAACACTCAGGGGGACCCCACTTACCAGCAGGGCATTCTAATATGAGATATAGGGAAAGAGAAAAAATAATTAAGTAAAATACATGTCACTAAACATTAAATCATAACAAAGATGAAAAAGATAGAAGATAAGCGGGGTAGAGGTTACAAAGCAATGTTCTCGAGCGTAGAACTATAGTATAGTGTATGCCATCGGCTTTGTCACATTCTGAATTTACATCCGGGTAATTTTAAAGTAACCGTATGTACAAATCGCATCACATATATTGATATCCTTACATCTGAAGTGTATCATTTGAAGTCTCATAAATCTTTTGAAATAACATTTGCAAAAGAGTAAGAGCTGTCCATCCTTCAATAACGCGCCATCACAAATGATCAGACTTGGACATTAATTATCTACCAGACTGCTCTAAACCAATTTTAAAGAATATTTTACATTCATTTATTCATTAATAATGAATTATAAATGAATATGTACATATCATCATCCACATGTAACTTGCATGATCTAATGAATACAAATAAAGATTTCTAGGCAAAGTATGAAGCACCACTTTTACAGCATTATAAATAAACAATACTCTCTTGGACTGGGAGAACATATAACCCCTTTCAAGAAGCATAATCTGAACTCAGCTGAAAAAAGCACACTTATACATGTACCTCTGACGATGAGTCTGTATAATCCTCCTCTATTTTGATTCCTCTCGTTATTATAGTAGATCTCATAGATTCCTTGGTCTGATGTCTGGATTGGGTTTGGGAAGCTGATCTGAGTCTGCCCATCAAATGATGTAAGAACCTCTATTCCATCTTTCATCCAAGTAATCACGTTGTCACTCGCATCGGGATCATAACGTCTAGTCATGCTGATCATCACTCCGGTCTCATTCACATTGACTGTCTTTGTAAACAATCCATCACTCGATGTGAACTTAGCTGTTAAAAGGGATAATAATAAATTAACAAAATAACAAAGGTTAACTTTAATACATTTAGCATACATGTACATGGCATGTGCACTGTAGCTATTTACTCACTGAAGGAAACAAAACATTTATATAGGCCTTGCATACATGTACATGTATATTGAAATATATATATAGAAAAATATTTACTTGCATATTGGAATAAATTTGTTCCTGTTGATATTTTTCAATAACAAGTTTAGATCATTTTCAATATTCGAACATTTCCGCAACTAGTCTGGGGTATGCCAAAATCTTTGGACTTCTGTTTGACAATGTTAATGTTAGTAAACAACATCAGCACAAATGGGCATGTTCAGGCTTAACGCATTACCGTGCATCCTTTGCTTTATGATAACCTTTTGAAATTTTGTGCTATCTACACAAAAGTCTGAAAATTTCTTTAAAAAATCGTTCTCTGGTATTTTCAGATTCATTCTCAGTATATAAGTATCAAAACCTTTGTTATAGCCATTATCAAGCAAAAAATGTTCAAAAGTATATATAAGCGGAACTATTTTATTGAATCACTCTCACTCCTGATCCTCAGTAAACCATTTTGCGGTATAAACGCTTCTTTGCCAAAAAAATCCACAGTACCTGTTTTTACATTGTTTAATAGTTCATTGTTGAAGAAAAAGAGTTTCTTACATTGTATTTTTAAGTTATATTCAAGACTTGGATTTATACTATCGCAAATGCGATTTCTGCCCTTAACAAGTCCTGAACCAAGATGTAAAAGTAGAGGGAAAAAACCTTAAATATGATATTTAGATTTTTCTTTCAATACTAATAACAATAACAAAAATGTAAATTCTGTAGATGTGTGACCATGATTTGTACGTTCCTTGATAAATCAAAGCCAGGAAATGGTTCGAGGAAATAGTGACATAAACAGCCTGCCATAGTTCAAGTCCAATTTATATCGATCATAGTCTTTGTGAAACACTCCCCGAGAGTGTAGTTTTTTTTAAACGCCTGCCAAGATTCCACAGATTTGTTGCAGTGTAAATGCAATCTTCGATAAGATACCCATTATCGCTCACATGACTCTCCTCGCTTCCATGGTAACGCATGCAGTAGAGCACCGACAAGTGGCACATGCGCACTACTCACAAACAAAATCGGTAAGGTTAAAAATTCAACGGTTTTGTTATAGTTTTTTTTCCAGTAGTGTAAATAGTAGTCACAAAAATTGATGATTCTCCAAATTGGTGTTTGGAAACATGTTTAAATGGGCCTATAGTAATGCATTATTTTCAATGAGGATTACTCCGTGATGTTCCATGGCAAATAATATTTCATTTTTTTCTCGCATTAAAACATATAATATTCGATTCTCTATTCGACAATTTTTATAGCCTAGATCTGTTATACAAATTGGAATTTGTGATTAATGTTATTTATTACGTCCTATTTACAAAGTATGAAACTACATGTATATGTTCTTACTGATCTGTCAGGAAAAACACACTTCTTTTGATTTCAGGTGCTTGGTATATTAATTGATTACATTCATTGGCAATTCAGGATTTGAACTGAGATTAATTTCGATTATTCATATATGACGTACAAGTATATGAATTATACGTGTAAAAATCTTAAATCTATAAAAGATAACACTATACAGTCTATGAAGCAAAGAAAATGCAATTACTTTTGATATTTCAGTTATAAATATTTACAAATTTGTCAGATTTATATGTCCAGGTTTGAAGTAAACAGGATATCTGAGAGACAATTCATGAATTTCAAAATCTTCAATAGCAATACTAAAATGTTTTACTTAAATTGATTTCATAATGACCTCACATGGAATATGCTCAAAACTTTACTTTGACTACTTTACTACAGGAAGTTTCTATAGTATACATCAAAGAATAAATCTTTAAAAATAAGGAAATCCTATACTTATATTATAATAATAATCTTACCATCATTTCGTTGGAAAAATGTAGTAACCCTTGTAACATCTCGATCAGGTTTAGAAGCCTCACAGTAGAACGGACCGAAACCATCTCTATCCCATCCATCTCCTGTAGGGAATATGACCCGTCTGATGAATGCATTTCTAGAATCTGGATGTTCCACCTCGTCTGGTGGTGACCTGTCTGTGGTTATGGGTGCTGATCGACCAAATGATAGTAAAGCGTCTGTATCTGGTACACTGGGGTAACATTGATACACCACACGGCTATATGTATCTACATTGGTGTATCCTAAGGTCAGCACTGTGATATGAACAACCTCACCTGCAATATAACAAATGAACAGAAATTTACTTTTGCTGGATACATTATACTTTAGAGTACATCTCCCTGCAAGCATTCAGACACGGCATCTGAAGGACTCAGGTCTAATTAAAACAGCGTATTGCTGTATTAAGATGCATCCAGAACGCAAATAAACATAGCTATTGAAAAATCATAATTTTATTGCAGATTTGTAGAACCATGTCATTAGTACTTGGAGCTGGAAAATAACATAACTGCCATCAAGATATTGCACTTGTTAATACACCAAGTTTCGTCTCATAAATGTATGTGTATGTAAACTGGGAAAATACACGTTTATTCAATACCTAACCATGTGTTGATCAGCAACTTAATGCATTTAAATGTCAGTGTAGTATGTCTTGAGAAGCAAAATATTAAAATCAGAACTATAACCCCCAGACATGTAGTTCATAAATACATTGGTGAAGAAGGTAAAGATAAATTTATTACAGAAATAGTCCAATGAAAAGAAATCTTCATTATAAAGCACACTTACATTTAACCAACATATCATTTTTACAGTACTTCAAGTTATACCTTCAGTTAGACAACTATCAAGCAAAAAAAAAGCGACCTCTGTGTGGCCTTGCCTTGAACCATAATGCATGGCCCTACAGAGGAATTTTTCCTGTTGGGGGCCGGGGGAAAATGCAATGAATTTTTGACAATTTATTGCATTTTCTTCGTTTTGGGGGATTTGTGGAAGGGGCCGCGTACCCTAGCAAACACTGCGTACAGTCATGATTCAGGGGCTAAGCAATGGCCTCGTTACTGTGAGACCCCAGAATAAAAATCGTGTCGATCAGCTTTAATAGTGCCCTTTTGTGAGGCATTAATCCTCATTACTGTCAATTATGATTTAAGAACGTAGGTACCTTAGCTGATTAGCATAGTAGCACACAAATGATTAAGCAGTCACGCAAAACAAACACTCGCAAATTAATATTCAATAAAATCTGAGAATGTATGCCATTATCTAGATCTATCAGAAATAAATAATTTTAAAATCCTTCCCTAAACTGGGGTAAAAATAAATATTCCACCATTATGACCAACAGTGTATATTCTCATTCTCCCCCACCCCCTTTATTTCAGTGAATACATGCCTCTCTAACCTTTAACTCTTTGGTTGCTTTCTTCACCTCTGTGCATGGTCAATAGTTTTCCACACGTGCAATTTTGCACAAAACAATAGGCATCAATTTGACGGAAAGATTGCTTTGAGCATCACAATGTTTATGCAAAATACACATTTCTGGTTTTGATGAGCTCCATGACAGCCCTTTCGATACCAGTATAAAAATTAATCTTGCTCTGGGAATTATTGAATAATGTTGAATTCAAAGTGGCACAGGGACATTATTTGCATGGTATGTGTAGAGTAAATTTCCTGCTAATAATATAAGTTATTCTCATCCCGTTTGTCCTGCTTTCTCCCATTCCATCTTTATATTGGTTCACGCTTTTCCCCTCTTATATAGTTTCCTCCATTGCATTCATTGCATTCATTTCTTCTCCTTTTCTCTTCTTCCGTGAATTATCTTTCTTTGTTTAACCCTTTCTCCCTATCCTGTGAGCAAACGGAAGGGAAGAACAAGGTGAACTGGGACGAAAAAAAGTCCTTGGTCGTTTCCCACATGCAAACAAAAATATTTTTATTCTTGTTGCTATTTTCATTACATTCTGATTTTATTTCCCAGAAGACTATTTTTCTTTTTTTTCATGAGAGAAAAATGGAAAATACGCTTCATATGAATATATTTTATAAACATGAAATACAATTCAGGTTAAAGGTAAAGACCAGTATTGGAAACACCCCAACTTCAAAAAATTAAATGGAAGCTCTTATTACCAATCATGTGAAAGAATATGTTTTGACTAATACATGATGATCAAAATTTTGCCGGGAAACCGCCTACTAATTGATATATTTGGTAAATTAGTTTATCTACATGGTCTGTGAGAGATAAACGCACGTGTCGCGCACGTGTGCGTATAGTCCCATATACATTTTCTGTGTACAGTGCTTGTAACATTACGAAGACTGGGCCAAATTTCTTATCATTTTGATGATTCCAGAACCTTGCAGTACACACTAATACTTATATGCTAGATGATCAACCTTTTCTGATCGATTCCACAACGTTTCTTTCACAATGCAATCGCATGACCATAACTGGTCTTAACCTTTAAGGATTTGGAACAGAAGATAAAAGAAAAAAATATATTCAGAGTTGAAAAAAAGTTAAAGAAAAAAAAGATTATGTGCTGTTTTTCAGTATTTTTAAAAACTTGAACTTCTTAAGGAATAATCTATTTCAATCATCATGTTTGTTGAAGCAAATGGGAGAGTTTTCAGGCACTATTTCACACAGGTATTACAATCAAGTTGGCAATTCTGAAATTCTGAGAGACGGTATTCAGTATTAATCGCTATATCAATCCAGATTATTTTTTGGTCTCCCTTTAGCACACACGCCAAAAAAGTTTTTTCTTTTGTTTTGTTAAAACAAAGGGGGGGGGGTTCCCTCGAGAACACACACATTAAACAAATTGAGTGGGGGGGGGGTAAACCCCCTAAACAACCCCCTGCGTACGCGCTTACTTTCAGGTTTTCTATTCTATTTATTGTCACTGCAAATTTAACATTGGTACAAGCATCTTTGAGCCCTCCGCGAAAAAAATGCCCTATATATGTTCATATGCCTGTACAGGGGTGGCGGAGCGACTTCCAAAATGGGGGAGGAAGGGGCAAAAAAAGGACACTGCATACACCCCGAAATTGTGATTTACATTATCAGGAATGATTCTAATTTTTTTTTCTCTTTATACATTTAAGGTAATACAACGTTTTGGCATGGTGTCATGAATTTCGTTTAAATGAACATATTGGAAGCAATTTCGATTTTACAATATTCAATGATCGTTGCCGCGGTTGAAATCGAGTCTAAAGTGATGAAATTGTAAATAGTAAACTCTTTATATTGTATAGCTCTCTCTCAAGACTGATTTTAATTTAGCTTTAAAACAATGTTTCTTGACTACTATCGACCGAGTAGCTATTCCCAGTTTGAAATTATATATCAAAACTGCATATTCTGAGATTGTCATGGTCGCAGCTACCATGGAATGGCCTTAGGCGCTATTTGAAATGTTTGAAAGGGAGCACCGGTAAATATTTGATTATTCAATTTTTCCAAAGCAGAAGTGTTTTTTGGGTCAGATTTCCTAGTGATAATAATACATCCACAGAGGCATCCAAATACATCAACAATTGAGAGAATTACTGTCCATCTAATTTCAAAATTTCCCAAAACTGTGCATTACCTTTAGACAACAGACTTTGCAATTGGGTGATGATCTGAATATTCATTTGCAAGCGAGCGAAGTGAGCTGCGAGCGAGGACATTTTGTAAGATTTGTGAGGTCGCAGTACAAAGATAACATCTTATAAAGAGGGGAAAAAAACAATCATGATGGGGTTATAAGCACATTCTCATAACAGAAGACTGAAAAGACCTGATACGTAACATGATTATATCATCTATAAATGCGAGAGAGCGTAGCAAGCGAGCTTTGGGGGAAGTTGCTCTCAATATTTTTAAATTAGGGGCATGTTTAATGATGAGAGGAAAAAAGGACACTTATCGAAATTGATAAAACACTTATTACAAAAGAAAAGTAGCACGTGTCAAAATACAACGGGTAATTATCAGAGCTAAACATTTGGCAATTATCACATCTAAAAAGAGACACTCAC